GCTAGCTGGGTTAGGGGTTAGACTTTTTTTTCTTTTTATTTATTAATTTATTTGTGCCAATAGACACTTGACTTATGTCTTTTACAGGCCCTATTAATGGATTCCAGTCAAGAATCTGTTAATTGGTGGTAAAATCTATTTTTGGGATTTTTCTGTGGTGTTATAATTAATTAATTTTTTTGGGGTGTTATAATCAAATCGTGACAATTTTGTGGTGTTATTTTGCAAAATTGCCAAAAATTAAACTGTCAAACCAGCATAACAATGACACGTGCCCCATATAACTTTTTAATGAGATTACCTACTGGTCATAATTTGTTTTTAAGCGGATATCATCCAATATAATGGTTGTATTAATTAGAAATAATCAAAGGTTTGACTTGTTTTTGGCAAATAAGAAGAGAATTTTGGATAGATTTTTTAAGATAAAGATGTTGTATAGAGTTTTGTTATTAATAATTCTAATATTTCACAAATACAAAATTAATCATAACTTTTAATAAATATTCTATAATTCGGTTCTAATTCCATCACAAAATATGTTTTAAGAAGTTCGTTAAAATAAGATCCATTTATAATATATTTAATTAAATTTTAAAAATAATAAATAATCAATAAAAATTAGTTTTTTTTTTGGATTTTTTACTTTTACCACCAAAAAAATTCACAAAATTGTTTTTTACTACCAAAAATTTTAAAAATTGTATTTTATCACCAAAAAAATTTCTAAAAATTATTTTTTACCACCTACCGTCAAGAAAACCGTTAAATTTAACGGTTTAAAGAAAAACTCTTCGATTTTCGTGCGCAAAACATGTTGTTCATAAGTTTAGGGGGACATTTTGGCCCTATGGGTTCAATTTGAAGTGGGAATTGACAAAAAATGATCGAAAATGCCTCGTTTTGCGTGTTTCACGCAAATCGAGGTATTTTTAAACGCACAAAAAAAGCATTTCCAATCTTTTTTGTCGATTCCGACCTCAGATTGGACTTTTAGGGCCACATTGCCCCCAAAACACCTAAATATGATGTGTTTGACACAAAAATCGAAGAATTTAAAATATTCCGTCAGGTTTTTGACAGCAGGTGGTAAAAAACAATTTTTAATTTTTTTTTTTGTGGTAAAATAAAACTTTTAAAATTTTTGGTAGTTAAAAACAATTTCGTGATTTTTTTTGGTGGTAAAAGTCAAAAAATCTTTTTTTAAAAAAAAAAACAAAATTAGTTTTAGGAAATTTTGACTTTTACCACCAAAAAATTTTGACTTTTACCACCAAAAAATTTGGACAAATTGTTTTTTACCACCTACTATTTTAAAAGTTGTATTTTACCACCAAATAAAACTCAAAAAATTGTTTTTTACCACCTACCGTTTAGAAAATTGTTAAATCTAATGGAATTTTTTTAAATTCTTCGATTTTCGTGCCCAAAATATGTTCTTCATAGGTTTAGGGGGGCATTTTTCCCCTATAGGTCCATTTTGAAGTCAAAATTGATAAATAAATGATCGGAAATACCTCGTTTTGCATGTTTTAAAATACATCGAATTGCGTGAACACGCAAAAAGAGGTATTTCCGATCATTTTTTTTTATCAATTTTGACCTCAAATTGGATCCGTAGGACCAAAATGGCCCCCTAAATCTAAAAAAATATTTCGGGCATGAAAATCGAAGAATGTTTTTTAACACCGTTAGATTTAACGGTTTTCTTAACGGTAGGTGGTAAAAAATAATTTTTAGAACATTATTTGGTGGTAAAATACAACTTTTAAAATAGTAGGTGGTAAAAAACAATTTGTCCAAATTTTTTGGTGGTAAAAGTAAAAAATTTCCATAGTTTTAATTAGTGAAAATAATTTTAGTTTGGTAAAAATTAAATACTTTCCGTCCAGTAAAAATGATCTAAGTTCAATAAAAATAATTTCAAAGTCTATAATAACGTAAATATCTATTTACAAATAAAACTACAAAAAGTTCAATTAATAAACACAAATTCTTGTATGTGGCTGACCATACAGTGTAACCAATCATCATGGGGGTTTAATCATTAGTGTAATAGGGGATACTCGGTCAGTGTTATAGGGTTAATTACTCAATTAGTATTAGAAGTGTTAATAGTTCAGTGCTATAAGGGTTACTTAGTTATTTTACAAGCGGTGACATGGTGTGGCTAGCCGCACACAAGACGTGTTGCGATTATTATATAAATAAGCGCTATTATATTTTACGTCTAAATATATAGCATTATCAAAAGGGATTATAGGACCGTATTTAACATTTACGCCAAAATTTTTATCAATAATCTGGGCATTACCTATCACAAAACTATTATATATATATATAAAGGAGAGTTTTAACCCGAGTTTTTAGTGATCCACGTAGGATTAAATTTCTTAACGCGTCACGTAAGATTATAAATTTTAGTTATACCAATTAAATAAGAGATTTGTAAATTTTGAGCAAATTTGGTGAATGAGATTTTATGTTTAGATTAATTAAATATAAAATATTATTAGAGCCACATAAAATTAAAATTTCTTAACGCGTCACGACGTAAGGTTATAAAATTAGTTATAGTCAATTAAATAAGAGATTTGTAATTTTTTTTAAGTAATTCAAGTGTCACACAAGCAATATTGGCGAACTAGATTTTAAAGTTAAGATTAATCAAATACTAGTATAAAATATTATCTTTTGAGATTAGGATTTTTCTCTAGACATATAATGAATGAGTAGAAATTTATTATTTATTTTAAAATAGAAAAAATGGAAATTAAAAATCCAACCTTTACACTTTTTCCTCCCAAAAATCCAACCTTTATTTTATTCCTCAAAAATCCAACCTTTATACCATCCCTTCATCTAAAGGTCAAAGGTAAAATGGATCTGTTGGAGAAGGAGGGGTGTAAAAGTTGGATTTTTGAGGAATAAAATGAAGGTTGGATTTTTGGGAGGAAAAAGTGCAAAGGTTGGATTTTTAATTTCCTTTTTTCCATTTCTTTTAAAATAAGATATTATATGATATACAACGTACAACGAATAAGATAACAAATTTTATCACATACATACAAATTTTTTTTTTATAGATATAAAAAAACCATGTATCGCACGGGCTTCTTCTAGTTTTGTATTATTTTTGACAATTTAAATAGCCAACCCTTTTTTTCTCTTCTCTCTCCTCTAGGTTTTTTTTTTTTTCATTTAAGCTGAAAATAGTCTAATTTCCTTTCCAACCTTTTTTTTTCTTTGATTTAATTTAGTTTTTTCGAAAATTTCACCATATACCACTAAGTTTTAACTTAATTATTCACCGTATACCATCGAAAACTTTCTAATTCACCATATACCATTCAGTTTAACAAAAATGTCACAACATGCCATTAATGACTAACAAAAGTTACACCGTTAGTCATTAAGGCTAATAAGGACACATGGCAACATGTAATTGGTCCCTTTCTAATTTATTTAATTTAAAATAATTATTTATTTAATTATTAAAAAATATTTTTTTTTAAAAAAAACATAGCCACCACGCTGGCGAGGAATCCGGCCACAACCCCAGCGCTAACGCGGATTTCGACCAAAACCCTTGTGCTAGTACGGAATCCGACCAGAATCCCCCTAAAACACTAATCTCCCTCGAAAACCACCGTGCCTGCACCCCTATCTCCCTAAAAAAATCCTTCTATAGCCACCGGCCGATGCCCAAACCTCCTCCCCTGCATCAGTGAACCGAATTCACCCCTCCTGGTTCCATCTCTACCCCATTGAACCACCAAGTACGTCGAAACCCCAAAATTAAAATATAGGGTTTCGATTTTGGTGTTTTAGGGTTTTGGGTTTGTGGTTCTCAACAATTAGGGTGGCGGTGGTGACGGGGTTTTGGGGCTGGTGGTTGGGTTTTTGAGTAATGTGGAAAGGCAAGAAGGGGTTTTTGGGGATCAGGAGGCACGGAGGGAGAAGGGAATTCGACTAAGGTGGTGGTGGGGGAATCCGACTAAGGTGGTGGCTGGGTTTTCGACTAAGTTAGTGGCTGGGGTCGGAATTGTCGCCGATAGAGGAGGGGGAATGGTCGCTGGTAAGTGGAGCAGGCGTCCAAGCGCCGGCTAGCCAAGGTGGGGATCGGGGTTTGGCTAGCAATGGCTAATTTGGTGGTGTTATTTTTTCTATTTTTTTTTTGAAATTTTCTAAAGTTAATTAAATAAATAAATAATATTAATAAGAACTAATTACAAGTTGTCACGTGGCATAATTAACGTTAATGACTAACTGAGTTATTGAAAATGTCATAAAATTGAAGATTATAAGGTGAATTTGAAAATTTCTGGTGGTATATGATGAATTAAGTTAAAATTCAATGGAAATGACTAACTGAGTTAATGAAAATATCATGTTGTGACATTTTCATAAAATTAAAGATTATACGGTGAATTTGAAAATTTCTGCTGGTATATGGTGAATTAAATTAAAACTCAATGGTATATGGTGAAAAAATCGTAGTTTTTTTGGTTTTGTTTTGGGAAAAATTGCGGAAAATAATACAACCTTTGTGCGGTTCATTTATAATAATACACCTTTGGATTAATTCTTAATATTATAACCTTTTACCCCCATTTATTTTAATCAGGCAAATTACAGGCAACCTGTTGAAAGCAAGTCAACAATATTCTAATTAAAGGTTGACCCAAAATTTCCCCCTAAAATTATCCGACGTGGCAAAGACGTTGCCACCTACCCCATTTACTCACTATCTTCTTCTCTCTCCTCCCGCCATTACTGAGGCTACCAAACTCAAACTCTGAAAAAAAAAATCCGTACTTCGACATTAATGATTCTCAACCACCAAGGAAGTGCAATTGGCGTCGGAGAAGAGGTTTGAAGCGGAAATCAGTTGAATGCGACACAATTCGACCATGGTATGTTGTGCTATCCCTTAATTTGCCCAGATTTTGTTGGATTTTTTTTCGATTTTTTTTATTTACAGCAATTCATATCTAAAAATGAAGTCTTTAGGGTTAATTGATGTTTGTATTGGTTGAATTGGTTATGAATTTGGTAATTTTGGGGAAAAGTTTAATTTTTTTATTTACATTTGCATGATTTAGGATCCAGGTAATGTAACCCTAAGATTTTGGCATGGAGGGAAGTTTAAACATGTTAGAAATGGGGAACTTGTTTATATTGGTGGTGAAGGCAGGACTTATAGTGTTGACCCAAAATATTTCTTGTTGTTCTTGTTTGTGTTTGTGAAGGCCATACTGCATGCAGTAGCTACAGTGCTACCTAGTGCTGAGCACAGACACTGTGCTACGCACATATTCTCCCAATGGCATAAGAATTTTAGGGGAGATGAAATGAAACTTCTTTTTTTGGAAGATAGCTAAGTCCTATAACAGTGCTGATTATGAGGAGGCATTAGAGGAGTTGAAAGAGCTTAACCCTGATGCTGAGGTTGCCTTTAGGAGTTATAATCCCAAAGTCTTTTGTAGAGCATTTCTAGACACCTCAGTGAACTCAGATGCAATAACCAATAATATGGCTGAGACTTTTAATGGCTATATTATTAATGCAAGGACTAAACACCATATATGCATGCTTGAGGATATTAGGATTGCTCTTATGCAAAGGGTGGTGAAGAAAAGAACTGAGATGGAGAAATCTGCTTCAATACTGTGCCCTAGGATACAAAGTAAACTAGAAAAAGAAAAAACCAAGGCAGCTGAGTGTGATGTTATGCCTTCCTCCCAGACCAAGTTTAATGTGAGATATATTCTTGATATGCTGACTGTAGACCTTCAAGCTAAGAGTTGCACCTGTAAAAAATGGAACATGACAGGTATACCTTGTTGCCATGCTGTAGCCTGCATTTTCTTCAAAAACCAAGAGGCTGAGTTGTATGTTGATGAATGTTTCAGAAAAGAGGTGTATCTCACTGCCTATGCTGGGGCCATACCACCCTTAGAAGGAGACAGACATTGGCCTAGGGTGAAATGCAATGTGGACCCCCCCCCCCATTAAAATTGGTCCTGGTAGACCAAGAAAAAATAGGATCAAGGATCTTTTTGAGCAACCAAAGCAACCAGGGACACTGTCAAGAACAGGAATGGAGATGACCTGTTCAATATGCAAAACCAAGGGACATAACAAGAGGAGATGCCCTGACAAGGGTACAACATCTGTCTTAGAGCCAACACCTAAAAAACCAAGGGGCAGGCCCAAGAAGGAGACAGTGAATGAAGTTTCTACTTCCATCATTGCATCTGCAGCACCTGCAGCATCTGGTTCAACAGTTCAGACTCAGCACCACTCTAACACAGCTCAGCCAACTCAGCTAGGCAGAGGGGGGAGGGTTATATTGGGTGGCAGAGGTGCTAGAGGTGGTAGCAGCCAAAGGGGAGTGGGTCCTGGAAGAGGCAGGGGAAGGAGCAGAAATCAGCTTCCACTTGGTGTTGGTGTTATAATTACCGCAGATGACACAACTTTGATGCCCAAGGTACACTTTTTTTAAGTGATTACTACTAAGTTATCTTTGGCTTAATGTGTTTCCTTTTTTTTTTACTCAGCCTGCTCCAACAAGAGGCAAAGGGAGGCCTAGGAAGCAGCAACCAAGTCAGCTAGGAACCCAGTCCAGCCAAGCTTCCACAGCCCACCAGCTCACACAGTAGCATCAGCATAGCAACATCTGCTCTGTTTAACTTTGTGAACATATTTATGAACTTATGTGCTTACTTATGAATCAGATTCAAGTTGTAATTTTGGTTAGAAGTCACTTGATATGGTCTATGTATTTTGTGGGATCAACATTATGTCTTTTTGTGGGAACAACATTAATTAATACTTATGTATTTTGTTGAGACAAGTTTATGTACTAATTTTGCAAAAGTTAACATTTCCAAATGAAGAGGCTAAGTTCAGCTTATCAAATTGCAAATAAATAACATATATAATCTTGTTTATCTAGAGTTATCACAACTCATACAAAGAGTTTACTTAAAGTACTACTACATCAGTCACCTAACCATAAACATAAGAAAACCCAAACACAATCCATGACAACAACAACATCAAATACATTCTTCTCTCATTCTTCCTCCTTTTCCTGATCTGAGTCTTCAGCTCTTCCATTTCTGTCTTCATCCCAGCAAGCGCATCACAATACTTGTCCTTCTTCAATTGCAGCTTCTTAATCTTGTCTTCCTTCAATTTTTTCTCATATTCCAACTCACAAATCTCAGTATCCTTCTCCATAATTTTCAGTTCAAGACCTTCCAAGTCAGTACTAGTAGTTACCCAGTTAAACATCTCACATTGAGTATCCTAAATCATACCCAAAATCAGAGTAAGTGTACAACATTCTCAAAAATTAAGTTAATTTAAAAAAAAAAAAAATTAAAATAAAACTTACTGGCCATAAGGGGAAACCATAAAATCTCATCCCCATATTTGGACCATTCTTCACTGTCCTCACAGCTGCATACTTCCCACATGAACACCGAATTCTTGAGTTAGCCCCCCTTGCCGAATTGGTTGTGCTTCCAGATCCAACCGATTGGGATGGTTGCCTTATCCCAGACATATCAATTAAATCAGAGTAATTGAAGGGGAGAATGCAAATTTGAGCAAGAAAAAAGAAAGGGAAAGCAACAAATTTGGGGAAAAATGGTGAAGGAACAGGGTATATAAGTAAAGAAAGGGATTTTGAAAAGTTGTCCAACGGTCAATGACACGCACGAAGTATTACTGCCACGTCATCGGTTTACCTCTTGTAACAGGTTGCCTCGTAAATTTGCCTGATTAAAATAGATGGGGGTAAAAGGTTATAATATTAAGAATTAATCCAAAGGTTGTATTATTATAAATGAACCGCACAAAGGTTGTATTATTTTCCGCAATTTTTCCTTTGTTTTGTCATCTCCCTTTGTGAGAGTCTATCCCAAATTTTTTGGGTTTTTCCCTTTGAAAATTTGTTATAGTTTGTGTGTTGGGTCTAGCTAACCCCAATTCACGTGGACTTACTTAAGGCAAAACCCAGCACGCCCACGACCATCTTAGTCCCATCTCAAGTTTTCGACAAAGGCATTGTTGAAAATATCATTACTCCAAAAACATCACTAATATTACTAGTATAAAACTGAATTTCATAACACTACCCACGAAAACAAACACTTTTATAAGCTAAATTAACATTGAATTCTTCAATATCATCATCATCATCATCAAACACTAACACAAGATGGATTTGAAGGATGTTGTGGCTCAACACCAACCAATTCAATCTCCTTTTGCCTTAACAAAAGCATCATCCTTTCATTCTCAAGCCTTTTTCTTTCATTATCAATCTTCAATTTTTCCAATTCTCTTTCCTTTTTGCTGCTGAATTTTATCCATTTGAATCTCTGTTTCTCTAGTTCCAATGCTTGAACTTGAAATTTCAACCCTTGTTCTTCCAATTTAACCAAATGGGTTTTCATCCATTGCTTCTTTTCCCATGAATTTTTACTCCCATCTTGCAACATACCCATCATTTCTCCATTCAATTGTTGCAATGCCTGCGAGGTGTTCGACGAATTGCCTCCGAGAGTTTTGGCTCTCTTTCTTGGCCCTCCTTCGAATTCATGTTCCTCATCTTCGTCCTCGAATTCGTCCTCATCATCTTCATCATCGCAGTCCTCATCATCATCTTCATGATCCTCTGACCCTAATCCTAGTCTATGTGAATTGTTAGGCGGAATTGCTGATGAATGGAAGCACTGCTGCTGCTGTAGCATCTGTTGCTGGTGCTGCGGATGTTGTTGATGTGCCTCTGCAACAGAAACAGGGGACACTGCTGCCGCCGCCGCCGCTGTCGCCTCGCTAGTTCCATGCCCACAACTATTATGATAAGCACACATTTCCCTGAAAAACAAGTGCTTAGAATTAAGCAATTTCTTGACTTCTTCCTTCATTTTAGGCAAAATTTCCATTGTTTCAAGCAAACTTTGATTCTCCACCACTTTACAAGCAGTCCCTCTTCCTAAAATATCATTCACCCTCTTATACCTCTTATTCAAATCATTGAATTTATCCTCACATTGTTGTGGTGACACATAGAATCCCTTCTCCATCATTGCCCTCGAAACCGACTTCCACTTCCCCTTCTTCTGTAACATCCCACCTCCGCCGCCTACTCCACCGCCACCCGGTTTCTTCTTCTCAACAACCGCCTCATTTCCAGCTTCATCCCCAATATAATAAACCGCCATGATCAACAATCTAACCATATTATCAGTCCACTTCATTCTCTGCCAAGGAGAAATATTGCTACCCCCTTTTCTCTTCCCATCTAATGAACTGTTTTCATGATCATTTGCACAACTTGGTTCATCATCATCACTATTGGTCAATTGGGTCATTTGGATTTTGGGTTTTACACATGGGTTTGTATTATGATTTGGGTTTGGATTCGGATTCGAGTTTGAATTCGGGTTGGGATTATTATTGTATGGGATGAAATTGGTAGGTTGTTTCATTGATAACTGAGTATGTTGTTGTTCATGGGGTGGTTGTTGTAGTTGTTGTTGGCGGTGGCTAAACGCCGCCGTTTTAGGGTGGTTTTGAAGGTGGTGTTGAGGAGTGTTTTGTGGGGGTTTATGTAATGGCATTTCTAAACCTAGAATTCCAACCCCACCATTATTTGAATACATTCTTCCTGACAACCCACTTCCCTCCATTATATTTGTACTAAAGAAATTTACAAGAAAGAAAAAGATTTAATCTTTCAAGTCAAAGTATTTGCAACTCTCAAAAAGAAAGAAACCCAATAATAAAATAAAATTTGCACGCTGTATAATGATGAAAATCTAGACTTTTGAGCATAAAATTGAACAAAATAGGTGGTTTTATCAGGTTTTTAGAGGAGAGAGAAAAATGGGAGTAGTTTTGGAGAAGGGTGGTAAGGAATAGATAGATATACGGGTAGAAAGGAGGTAATACAAAGAGCGGTTCAGCCGGTTTTACGAAAATGGTTTTGGGTATTTTTATTTGGTAACCGGGAAACTGCCCATTGTTTTTAATGTCCACTGGTTTTAGCCTAAGAGTGACCGGCTGCCCCCACTGTTTTATCCCTGTGTTTTAAAAACAACGTGGTTTTGGTTGGTGGTATTGTTTTTTTTTTTTTTTTTTTTTTGTTGACGGAACTTATTTAACTTATTTTTGTTGAATCAACGCATTACTTCGGAGTAGACCTGGTTATTGGGCGGGTCGGGTCAGGGTCGGTTGTGGGTCGGGTCAAAAAGGGTCACATTTTATAGGGTCAATATAGGGTCGGGTCAATGCGGGTCACGGGTCATTAGCGGGTCGATAATGGGCGGGCCTATAAAATATCAATTAAAATAAATATTGGACAAAACCATTATTATATACATATGAATACAAATTTATCTATAATAATTATTTTTACATTATGTATTTTCTTTATCAATTAAATTGGAAAAACATGTTGGCCCTATATTGCCCTTGTCCAATAAGGGCCCTGTCCATTAAAAGCCCTGTCCATTAAAGTCCTATAAGTTTGGTCCTGACCCTATTATCATTAGGCTACCCTACCCAATAACCACCTTTACTTCGGAGTAATTAATTTCTGGAGATGAAGTTACGTTTGACAATATAGTGGTAAGCTTTGTTTTAAAAAAAATATAGTGGTAAGGGGGAAAAAATAATACGATTTTATACTATTTGTAACATAATATAAAATGAGTATAAAACGTCCAATTGTTGTAAATAATTTAAAATGAAAGTAATATTGAGAAAACTTAAATGTGTTGAATAAGTAGTGGTTTAGGTAAGGATTAATAATAGAGGTAGCATTTAACTAATTTTTTCAAGTGTTAAAAATATTTTAGTGTTTCAAAATTAAAAAGCATCAATTCATTCAATACTATATACTAAAAGACACACCGGTGGATGATACGTGTCATCTCTTGATGTGTCCTTAGTTCCTTTGTTTTTTTTTTTCTTTTAAAAAAATATTTTAATTAAGGAAACAAATCATTTACAAAAACACAAACTTTTAAAAAAATCGGGTATACAATAATTATTGTACATCTATTATAAAGATCTTTCAGAGGGATCAAAAGATACCCTTAAAATGAATAAAAGTTACTCGAATATGTATAAAAGTAACCAAAAATTAGTGATTGAAAGTAATGCCTTATAAAACTTTTCTTCTTCTATTTATAAAAAAAATCATACTATGTTCAAAGTTACCTAAGAAAGGGCAAAAAGTTACCATAAATTGACTTAAAGTTACCCTATTATTAGTGTAAACCGGATGTATATAAAAGTTTTTGTTACAAAAATCATATTTTTTTTTGTACATATTCCATATTGACCATGATAATTATTATATTTAAAATAAAGATTTATTCACAAATCTTTCTTAAAAAAAAATTGGGTAATACATAACAAATACTTAGTGACCTATTTTAAGATAAAAAAAATATATAGCTCAGATTTTTTTACCTACTTTGTTTTAGTTGTGTATTGGAAGCTATAATTAAAATTGCAAATATCAAATTAACATATCACATACTTTATTATTTCTTGACTAATTTATGATTATAATATTTCTCAATCAATAATATATAACTATATATAAAGATCACCGTGCATGGCACAGGATTTAACCTAGTTTGACTTTTAAAACAGTGTATACTTTCATTGTGTTTTATTGTGTTATATGTTTTTTTTTTTAAAAAATCGTACGTTTCCTTATTTCTATTCATGTTAACCGACCTCAAATTATTTGGGACTAAGACTTCGTTGTTATTGTTGTAAACTTTTAATATTCAGTGGCGGAACTAAGCGGGGATGTCCCCCCCCCCCCACCCTACTTTTTTTAAAAAATAAATTATATATATAAATTTGGGAAAAATTGCAAATAATAATACAAATTTTGGTCGGTTCTTTTTTAATAATACAACCTTTCGATTATTTCTTAATATTAAAACTTTTGGGGGTATTGAATTTTAACAGGCAAAAAAACTTGCAACCTGTTAAACAAGTTACAATGACATGTGTTGTCATGTAAGTGGTTAAAATTTTTTAGAAAAATTAGAAAATAGGTTTTATAGTTTTAATTAAAAAAATTTAACATTTAATTAATGAACTTTTAATTTTTTAACAAAATAATTTTAATTAAATTATATACACCTGTAGTGAATATTTCAAGCATTATCCCTAACTTGAACCCCACTGTGATCATACACTAAAGTACGGTGGCGTCCAAAGGGAAAGAAGATAGAGCAAAAGAGTCGCCAACAAGTTTTTTAAGGAACTTGTAAACCATTCACAGGGTGAAGGTTACACCCCTTAACAATCCAAGAGATCGTCAACTCCATAAGGTCTTGAACCAAATAGGGTTCGGGGTTGAAGGTACAAATCCAACCTAAAAGAGATTGAACCTGCCCTAATAATAGGCCTCTACTTTATTCTGATTGTATTCATGTGCGCTTTCTAACTAACATGCAATCAATAAGATTAACCCTAAACTTGTTTATCTATGTTGGTTGAATATAATGCACAAATAAAACTATTATT